CACACACTACGTAATTCCAAGTGGGGCTACCACTTATCTTTTGTTTTTCTCCTCATGCTGTCCATTTTCTTTCATTTGGACAAGGTAACAAATGCTGCCGCACTTACAAAAGGTAATTGTGTGGGATAATTTATATCACTTACCCCTCCTACTAGATGATGAGCTCTCCTGTATTGTCTTCCTCCCATTTTGTGAAGCGCTGCACAAACTGTTGTCACTATATAAATCCTGTATAATAAACACTTTTTTCTACAGGCCCCATTCACACACGAATCGGCCTGCACGTACAGCTCCGTGTGGGGCCGTACTAAGTAGCTGCCGGGAAGGACAGGTGTTTGCGTGTGATTAGAACGCAGCCCCCGTCCTTCTCTATGGGGCTACGCGGCCGTACGCCCTCCTACGCTCACCTCATTTGCAGGTCCGTAGGGTTGCGGGTTTTCTGGCCGGGACGCATACAGGATCCATTCCAGGGGCTTATGAATACAATAACCCGCACCCCTACGGATCTGCAAATGGAGGTGAGTGTACGGCCGTGTAGCCCCATAGAGAAGGACGGGGGCTGCGTTCTAATCACATGCAGCACCTGTCCTTCCCGGCAGCTACTTAGTACGGCCCCACACAGAGCTGTACGTGCAGGCCGATTCGTGTGTGAATGGGGCCATAACCTGTCCTGTTTATAATGACACAAACAAAAAAAACATTTGTACAAAACTAAAAAAAATGTGTGCGCATTGTCTACAACTAGTACAATCTGAGCTGTGACTAGAGATTTTGTAACTGCAGCATGACTTTAAACAAGGTTCTTGATAGGCTAAGAAGTAGAACATGAAAAGGCAGCCAATAGAATTACACGTCAAACAAGCAAGTTTTTTTTAGAATAATTCCTTTAGTATAATTATATTACAAAGTATACGCTCCAAAAGAGTAATTACATATGAAAATAAATATCTCAGAGGAGGGGGAAAAGGTCTCTGTTGGTAAAGCGATAATTTCAGTGTCCTGAAGCAGAAATGCTGTGTGATGTAGACACTCTTCTGCTGAATCTGCGCATGTCTTCTCAGGGGAGTGGTAGAGGCAAATGAAGGAGATTTTTGTTTCGGAATGTTCCAGGGCATCCTGCAGAAACAAAGGACAGCACATTTATTTATAGGAGAAACTATTCATCTACATGATTTGAAATCATCATTACAAATGCCAAGACTTATTGGTGTGACACAGCATTCTAACCTTTGCAAGACATCTCATGATACTTGCTCAACCAGTTTTTCCATTATAAGGTTGTTACACAACACCAAGTACTCTGCAGCTGATACCAGATATGGAATGTTAAAGGAAACCAGCATTGTGAGAAACCCGTAGGCTGCCATAGCTGACCAGTTTTAAAAAATGCTAGTTGTCTGGCTGCCCAGCATTAGCACTTTGATTCATAGATCCCGATCAATTAGTCAAGTGAAGACAAGCTCCTGAGCTCATTTGTTCAGGCCAAGGAGTGGAATGTATCAAAACTGGAGCATACAAAAGCTAGAGCAGCTGCCATGGCAACCAATCAACTTCTATCGCTCATTTTCAAAGTTTAACCCAGGGGTAGCCAAACTCTGGCCCTCCAGCTGAGGCAGAACTACAAATACCATGATGCATTGCAAGATTCTCACAGCCACGACTCGGAGAGAGATGCATCATGGGATTTGTAGTTTCACCACAGCTGGAGAGCCGGAGTTTGGCTACCATATTTTTCATATGGCTTTCCGTCACAAACATGCAGTGCTTGCTGCTCCCAAACGGTGTCACATACACAAATAGAAACTGACGAGAGGTTCTGACACTTCCAAACGTCATCCTAAACTAAAAAAGTTTGCCTTGAGTTAGGATGGCGATAGCCTTGGGCTCTACATGATAATTGATGATGGCAGCCCTCCGACTGCCAGAGCTAAAGGGGGGGAGAGGCTGTGGGTGGCAGTCTTGGAGTCTGGAGGATCAGGTAAAGCTGGCCATACACTATACCCATTCCGGACGATTTATGATGAACTGGTTGAAAATCGCAGTGAGTGCCACTGTAATGAAACCCTTTCAGCCGGTGATCTGTCCACACTGAGAACTTATCGAGTTCTGCGACCGCCTGACTTCCGGTTTCGTAACAACTAAGAGGTTTGCCGAAGAAAGCTGTTCTGCATGAGCGCCAGCCAAGGCATTGGCCTATACACATACAGCACAGCAATGAAGTAATAAAATGAACTAGGATCACACTAATCCAGCACGTTATTAATCTCACGTGCCCCACTCAATATGGCCGCCGCTTGAGTGGGGCAACTCAGATTGATAACGTGCTGGATTAGTGTGATCCTAGTTCATTTTATTACTTCATTGCTGTGCTGTATGTGTATAGGGCAACTTTCTTTGGCAAACGTCTTAGTTGTAACGAAACCGCAAGCCAGGCGGTCGCAGAACTCGATAAGTTCTCAGCGTTGACAGATGACCGGCATCCCTTGTTGCGGCCGGTCGGAAAATATTACAGTCTATTACAGTAAATATGCCAGCTTAAAAGGAGAACTATGGGGTCAGTGTTTTTCCCCATAGTTCTCCTTAGGGTAATGGGAGGACACAAACTAGCATCCTCCCGTTACCCTAAGCTCAGTATACCGCGAGCTACAGCTCGCGGTATACTGAGACGCCGCAGCCAGAGCGGATCCCGACGTAGATGACGGGATCCGCCCAGCTGCATGAGTGACAGCTGGCTCTGCCTATCTAGAGGCAGAGCCAGCTGTACCCGCCCCCTCCCCCGTCCGTTCCGCCAGTCAGTGCTGGCAGATCGGAGCGGGGAGAGGGGAATCCAGCAGAGAGCCGTGACAGGATCGAGAGGCGAGCGAACCCGGTATGTGTTCTCTCACCTCCCGATCTACTGAGCCGACCTGTGACAGTCTCATTGTCACAGGTCGGCTAGAACTATGAGGTGAGTGAAAAGCACTCACCTCATAGTTCTCCTTTAAGTAATAACCCTATACACAGGCCCCCTAGCCAATAATAAGCAGCTAACCTTCCAGTATAGGCATGGCCCCACTACAAAGGGAATGGAGATTTCTCATGGAGATAGGTTTACCTTTCTCCTCCACAGAGAGAATGTCTCCCATTTCTATAAATGTCCCTCCTGTTACCAGCAGCAGAACATAATAGAGGCCAACACTGAGTGACCCGCCTGACTAATCTTATAGCACTCACTCAGGGCAGCAGATAGATGAAGATGAACAGCACCAGGTCAAACAGTAAGAAGATCCAGATGTCGAACCAGTAGGAATGGGTGCACAGAGTCTGCAGACAGGCGTAAGCCTCCTTCCGCCGCTCCGCCAGCTCTGCGGGGACTCCGCCGGCTCCGCTCTCCTCCTTCTCCTGTGCTCTCTGGCGGCTCTCCATACTAGCCCGCTGTGCTGTACAAGTGGAGGCGGCGGCTGGCCTAGGGCAGACGTGACGGTCACGTGAAAGGAAGCCGTTCCCTCGTCTCTATGGTGAGCGGCGTGTTCTTCCCACTGTACCATAGAGACGTGCGGGAGGAGCGGCACATCAAGTCGCAGGCTTGGTTTTAGTCTAACTTGTGGAACTGGCTTCCTCACACCTAGGTCAAAGGTCACAGCTGATACAGGTACACCTATTCGTAAAGAAGTTTCCGGGTAGAATAAAAGTTAACCCTTGCAGTGGGGCTACCACAGCACTGCAAGAGTTACAAGTACAATTAAACCTTCGTTTTTTTGTTTTTTTTTGCACGTATCTACTGATAGCAAGCAGTAAATATATGCAAAAACATGAAAACATGAAAAAAAATAATGTTACCAAACAGGTAAAAACGTACCTGTGTCTCCCGTCCAAAGTTCTGAAGATTCTTGGATGATGGGGTCCCTCACAGGCAGGGCCCTCCTTACCATCTTGTCTTAAATTGTATTGTGACTGTAATGTCTTCCTTATATTGTAAAGCGCTGTGCAAACTATTGGCGCTATATAAATCCTGTATAATAATAATAATGCACACTTGAGATCGCCGGGGAGAAGAGAAGAGACACAGTGTAAAGGTGGCCATACACTGTACAACCATCGCAAGACCTTAGTCTTGCGATGGTTGTAAAGTGATTAAAAAACCATACGATCTGCCTATCTTGGACAGGCAGATCGCACTCTCGATCATCGCAAGCCCGCCCCCCTGAGGGGCGGGCTTCCGATGGCTGCAATGCTGAACGGGCAGTGTGCGCGTGCGCACACCGGCCCGTTCGGCATTTGTCTCCCGAGCACTGTTCAAACCAGCCGAAAATTGTACGATTCTCGGCTGGTTTTCTAACATGCTCCTTAGGCAAAAGACGTGCGACCGTACAGTAGAAACGGTCGCACGTCTTCGTTCACACTGTTCGATTCTCGTACGATCGCGGGATTTCACACGATTCTCGTACGAGAATCGAGCAGTGTATGGGCACCTTAAGTCAATGCAGGCAGCCTGGCAGTGTGCACCCGCACAGACTCTGTGGGACATAGAAGACACAGCAGTCAGTGCTGCATCAGAGACCTGCACCAGGGCTGGAGGGACTATTGGAAAGAAGAAGATGATCGGATCAAGAGGCTTCACTTAAGGTAAGTACTAAGGGTCGGTGACTTTAATTTCACTTTAAGTACTCCTTTTTGATGTAGGGTCTAAAGTAACAAAGGTATACTCACCTGAATCTCAGTCCCGTCTGGCTCCTATACCGCTCCCTGCGGCCTCTCTCCCCCCCCCCCACTGCAGTGTTAGTATGTCCTTCAGCGTCCTCGCATCTAATGCACTGTATTAGACCTGAAAACACACGAGTCATTAGACCGCTGGAACGGAGAGGGAAAGAGGCTGCATGGACCTGTTCAGCTACTGGGTGCGACTGTGGTTTGGATGAGTTTAACTTTATTACTTTCCTCACTAGACCAAACCAAGCAATTAAACCTTGCATTGCGGGGGTAGCCTCACTACAAGGGTTAATACAAATCCCAGCAATACATTATACACTGTATGTGTAATGTACTATTGCTGGCATTTGTTGTATTCCTATATAGCTGCTGGTATTCTGCATTGCACCGTATAATCATTATAAAACGCAATGTAGAATACCACCAGGTATAGAGGACTACAAATCCCAGCAATAATAAATTATACAGCGCAATGCAGAATAACGCCAGCTACAGAGGACTACAAATCCCAGCATTAGTATAATGTACTGTTGCTGCGATTTGTTGTATTCCTCTATAGCTGCTGGTATTCTGCATTGCGCCGCTGTATAATGTACTAATGCACACCACACTTTTTTTTTCACTTCCACCGCTCCAAGCTTGCTCCCCTGATGGACTACAATCTCAATACAAACTAGTAGTCCATCACTGTGGCCTTTTTTTTTTTTTTATCCAATTAATCAAACTTAATAATCAGCTAACTAATCGATTTTGAAAATAATCGTTAGCTGCATCCCTAATGTGTGTAAAAACGCTCATAAACGCTGAAAAAACACTGACGCTCAGGTGTGAACAAATCAGAATTCTGTCTCTTTAGCTCTTTTTTGTGCCGCTATACTTCCTTACTTATATACCGACACCCTGGCTGGACTTTCTTCTTCTATGGGGCAGATAGTTCCACACTAAAAGAAAGCCTGTTGATTGGCCAAGGCTCCTCTGCCACAAGATTTCCCAACACATGACACACAGATCGTAAGGCTTACTGGCAGAGGAGGATATCATTGTAGCACAGAACCACTAATTGCTGCTTTTGTTACTATGCAAATTTTAGCAGCCACTGTTTATACCGCTCACTTCCAAGTGAAGTATAACCAGCAGATAACTGGCTTCTCCTGAATGTCTACTTTTTTGTACTGTTGCGTACTTTGTACCTTATTTTTTATATTGGAAATACAAATAACGATTATATTTGAAAAAAGAGCTCTAAAGCTCCTTCTTTGAATATATTAAAACCCATATCTAGGATAGAACTAACACAGCTATCATTGGAGGTGATGACCTCAGCAAGATGGTTACCCATGCCACTATGGATGTCGCTGTATTGGCTGCAGTCGTTAAAGATGAAGAAGAGTCGCAGGTTGCGCATCTTATTGCTGTGGTTTTTGAATACAAGTGGTATGTGAATGGCATCCTTGTCATAAATCTCAGCTTTATTAAAGCAAACTTGTTCCCCCTTTCATTAAAAATCACAACAGCTCTGCATGCTGATATGAAATCATCTGACATTTATGAAACAAACATTTTTTGCTTGGGGCGGGCTTGTGATGACTGCAATGAGGGGCGGGCTCCCGATGACTGCAAACGGGCAGTTGTCGAACAAGCAGGCCACTAACACGCCGAGAATCGTACAATTCTCGGCGGGTTTTCAAGCCTGCTTCGACGGAAGACGCGCGACCGTACAGTAGAAACGGTCGCACGCCTTCCATACACTGCACGATTATCGTACGATCGTGGGATTTCCCGCGATTCTCGTACGAGAATCGTGCAGTGTATGGGCACCTTTACACTTTAAGGTTAACAGGTTGACTTTCATTGGCCCTTATCTACCACATTGCTGTTATTAAGCACAGTGGTATGTAAGCGGGTCCTTAAAGCATATCTAAACACAAAAACAAACAGGTAAATATTGCAGCTTACTGGTTCTTGGACGTGGTGGCTGAATTTGTTTTCTTTATCAAGCTTTTTTCCCCCCTTTATTGTCACCTGTTTAGTCTTCCAGTAATACACTTCCAGAACGAGGATCACAACACCCACTGTATAAAGGCAACAGAAACTGGATTGGACAACAGGATTCCACCCCTCTCCTTTTTACCATAACATAACGGGGTCTGGTTCTGTAGTCCTCAGAGATAGCTGAGAAAAATGCTGATTATAATAGCACAAGCAGAGAGCAAAGGAAGTTATCATCCCACAGGATTTTTGCCAAGATTAATATGAACTTTTTTCACTTAGTGAAAAGGTATAACGAAACACAGGTATAAAGAACTCCGGGCAAAACTTTTCTTAACCCTTGCGGTGGGGCTACCCCTGCACTGCAAGGATTGGCTGCTCGTTTTGCTCTAAGGTCAAAAATAACAAAGTTATAATCACCTGTTCCTTGCAGCTGACTGGCTGTTAGTCCAATCCCCCCGGCCTCTCTCCCTTCTGCTCCAGCAGTCTAAAGATCCTTGAGTGATCACGTCCAATACACCGTGAGGAGGAGGGAGGCTGGGGGGAAAGCAAGACAAATATCTCAGAATTTACAAAAAAAAGTGGATGGGGAGCAGATGTGATAATAGAAGATTCCACATGGATTGTGAGCAAATATCTGAGTTTCTTGAATCCTTGTTTAATGCCAAAAAGATAAAACTTCCGATGGCATAACAATAATAATCTTCATTTCTGTCTTTAGTTTGCTTATGAAATAATACAATGAGTTTAATAATTAGTCTAAATACAGTTGATACAATGTTTTCTGAAAAGTGTTTTTAAAACAATATTATCTTTGATTTTAGGACTACAGGAAACTTTAGTGAGTTTCTATCAAGAGTAACTCCTTAGACCTCACAGTGAGACTCATCAATGCATGACACATTGCTATCAGGCACAGTGCAGGAGGTGACTGATACCAACCCAATGGAAAGGGACGCAAGTTTGGAGTCATATATTGAGCTACATCCTGTGGTCACTGACTGTCGCAGCACAGAAATAGCGTCACAGAGTTCTGACATGACAGGTTGGTGGTCAATTCAAATTCAGGATTGTTACAGTGCAATATAATCAGCGTTTACAGCAAACATATTTTTACGTGCTTTCAGATTCCACTACTACTCCAGGAGATGGTGTTACTCCAGGAAAAAGAAAACGTGTTCACCGTAACACTATGGAAAAGATTTTGGAAGCCTTAAAAGCCCCGATTCTTGTTCCTTCAAACCAAGCACCCATAGACAGAGATGCAGACAAACTATTTCTATTAAGTCTCTTACCTGAATTTAAGAAGCTTAATCCGCGCAAGAAAACGATGGTAAAAATTAAAATGTTAAAAATAATAGATGAGGCGCAAGAACACTGATACACCTGCTGTGAATGTGTACGGCCTCCTGAAAGCTTCTCTCCTCCCCACTGGGCACCGGTCTGTTCCCCCTCAGATCCCCGCTGCCTCTGCCAACACGGGCAGGGGAGAGCAGTGGGGCATCGAAGGTGACACAGACCGGCGCCCAGCTGGGAGGTGAGAAGCAGTCAGGATGCATTAAATTTTCGGCCGATAAGGTACTTTCAGCATTTAGGCCAAAGTACCATTTTTGGATGAAATGTTTCGGCGGCCAAAATTTCGGTGCATCCCTAATTTTTGTTTATGTATGTGAGTCAATGTTATGT